GTGATGGACTACAATCTCAATACAAACTAGTAGTCCCATCACTGGAGCCATTTTTTAAAATTTATTTTATTTTTTAACCAATTAATCGAACTTAATAATCTGCTAATCGATTTTGAAAATAATCGTTAGCTGCAGCTCTTCCCAGCCAATCAGCAAGGAGCTGGCTTCCCGGGCCAATCAGGAAACTGGGAGGCCGGTCATTAGTCGCTGCCCCGCTTCCTGATTGCACGGCAGCTGACTCCATGTTCCCCTACGGCACTGCCAGTCAGAGGAAATCTTCCTCTGACCAGAAGTTCCAGTATTGGGGAAGGTATCAAGCATTTGGGCGAGTACAAGTACTTGCCCAAATACTCTGTATCTGTGCATCCCTAATCAAAACTGTATTGGTCTGTGCTAAATAGTGCTTCTCATTGGTCAGCGTGGTCCCCAGACCACGCTGACCAATGAGTGCTTGCAATTTGCGAGCGAAATTAAAAATGCATAGGGCAGGACAGTACACCTGTACCGGCGGAGGGTAAGGACTGTTTGCCGAAAGGTAAGTATAACCGGGGGGTGGGTTTTTTTTGGGAGAGACGGGGGCCAGATTTGATCGGGTAATTCCATTTTCCCATATTACCTGGGAAAGCGAACTTGCCCTTTAATGCACATTGTGCGTGTGGGAGAGTTCTGCTGCCTCGCTACTACAATATGGCACAGTGAAATGGCGGCAGCACTCAACGCGCACACACACAATGTCCTATGCGTGCGTTTATTTACATGCAGATGGCGGGGGCAGCGGGGTTGGTTTTCATTTATTTTTTACATTATCACTTTTTTTAAAAATATAATTAATTTTTAACTTTTTCATAACTTTTTTTATTTTTAACCCCCCCCACCTAATTTTATTCCTATCACAGCGCCACGGTCTCAGTGATAACAGAGCAGACGAAAAACGGACAGGCTCTATGGTGAGCTCGTGTTCCGTGGTCTCGGGTCCGTCAGAGGAGCGGGGGACCCCGAAAACCACAGGGGGGGCAGGGGTGCGGGGTGGACAGAATCGCCGATTCTCGTTTCATACAAGTGATCAGATCACTTGAAAATGAACATCACTGGAGCCATTTTTTAAAATTTATTTTATTTTTTAACCAATTAATCGAACTTAATAATCTGCTAATCGATTTTGAAAATAATCGTTAGCTGCATCTCTTCCCAGCCAATCAGCAAGGAGCTGGCTTACCGCGCCAAATCAGGAAACTGGGAGGCCGGTCATTAGTCGCTGCCCCGCTTCCTGATTGCACGGCAGCTGACTCCATGTTCCCCTACGGCACTGCCAGTCAGAGGAAATCTTCCTCTGACCAGAAGTTCCAGTATTGGGGAAGGTATCAAGCATTTGGGCGAGTACAAGTACTTGCCCAAATACTCTGTATCTGTGCATCCCTAATCAAAACTGTATTGGTCTGTGCTAAATAGTGCTTCTCATTGGTCAGCGTGGTCCCCAGACCACGCTGACCAATGAGTGCTTGCAATTTGCGAGCGAAATTAAAAATGCATAGGGCAGGACAGTACACCTGTACCGGCGGAGGGTAAGGACTGTTTGCCGAAAGGTAAGTATAACCGGGGGGTGGGTTTTTTTTGGGAGAGACGGGGGCCAGATTTGATCGGGTAATTCCATTTTCCCATATTACCTGGGAAAGCGAACTTGCCCTTTAATGCACATTGTGCGTGTGGGAGAGTTCTGCTGCCTCGCTACTACAATATGGCACAGTGAAATGGCGGCAGCACTCAACGCGCACACACACAATGTCCTATGCGTGCGTTTATTTACATGCAGATGGCGGGGGCAGCGGGGTTGGTTTTCATTTATTTTTTACATTATCACTTTTTTTAAAAATATAATTAATTTTTAACTTTTTCATAACTTTTTTTATTTTTAACCCCCCCCACCTAATTTTATTCCTATCACAGCGCCACGGTCTCAGTGATAACAGAGCAGACGAAAAACGGACAGGCTCTATGGTGAGCTCGTGTTCCGTGGTCTCGGGTCCGTCAGAGGAGCGGGGGACCCCGAAAACCACAGGGGGGGCAGGGGTGCGGGGTGGACAGAATCGCCGATTCTCGTTTCATACAAGTGATCAGATCACTTGAAAATGAGCGGCGGCTCCACACTGTACACTTAGCTCTGCTTGTCCGAAGCGGGGCTAAGTGTACAAAAAAACTACTCGCCCTGCGCTCTGCATGTCCCGGGTGTCGGGCGATAGGAATTCCACACCCCTGCATATGCAAAAACATTTACCAAACAGGTTATTACTTACCTCTGTCTCCGCCGTGTTCTCCCATCCGAAGATCTGAAGATTCTTGAATGGCCCCTAAGGATGATGGGGCAGGCGCAGTACAGATCTTCGGCTGGGAGAAGAGGAGAGACTCAGGGTAAGTCAACGCAGGCAGCGTGCACGAGCACAGACCCCGACGGACAAGAAGACACAGCAGTCAACACTGGATCAGAGACTGGCAAAGAAAAGAACGGCCCTTTTTACCACGTGTATTCAGGAGCTCAGCATCTTCAGCTTCTGGAATTGATTAGTTTGCTGCAGGTTGTTACTGTGATTAGCGGATCCTCTGCTGGTGGATTGTCCAAGCTTCGGTGAGCCATACACACGAGATACCGACTGAAGTTTACTGCCGAAAGACTTTTTGATAAAAGTAGACTCATACTGGGGGTTTGATACACAGATGTGGACACAATCTGCTCCATTTGTCACTAAATCTCCCTAGAAAAAAAATGCTTTCTGATGACCGGGGCGAAATTAGAGAAATTGTCACGGACAGATACGGAGCAGACACACAAAGCCGATGCTGGTCTTACCTATATCTTTAACGTAACAATAAACACACATTTAGAAATGTTTAGTAATGACAAGCTACACATACATACTTCTAGATAATTGCCGTCTGTGTTTTCTTTGCATTCCTTGTTTCTCTTTTCCCCAGTACTCTGACAGTGGCCATGTTTACTAAGGGCAGATTAATATATCTCCCTTTACTTCCTGGAACTCTGGCACACGTGTCTAGGTCATATGACCATGCACATCATCTCAGGGGAGGAAAACACCTTTCCTTGAGATCTCCTGAGATTACGGATGAGATTTCCCAGAAATGCCCTGCTGATGTGTCCTTCCCAAATGCAGCGCTTAGGCACATTGCATCACTAATGCCCACGAGGACCAGGAAGTGGGCATTTGTAATTATAAGTAAAATTATAAGTAAAAGAAAAATATATTTAATTAATGCAAGAGGATTTTATAATGTCATGCAGAGCTGAATGCTGAGGTGGTTTTTAGTGAAAGGAGGTAAAGGTCTGCTTTAAATGCTGTGCCATATATGTGGATATATTTGCAGGATGAACGGCCCTGTACATTATTATTATTATTTATTACCCTTCATCTGTGTCTTAGCTGTATTAAATGTGGCTCTGTCGCTCTTTGTGCTTGCCCCTAAAACCTTCTTCTACTGTCTTATACCGAGAGATACTCTGGCAAAGACTACTTGACTCAGGGGTGTGGACATTTTTTTAAAAACTACTTGTCCAAGGGCTAAAGCGGGGGCCACATCTACCTGTCCTTCATGACAATCTACTTGTCCCAATACATAAAAATTGTTTTATTAAAAACTAAGGATGCACCAATACCGTTTTTTCGGTATCGAGTACGAGTACCGATTTTTTTTTTTTGCTTTCGGATATCGCCGACAATGAGTATTAATACCGGTGCTTCCGCTGGCATGGAGCAGGCTTCCCTGGTAATCAGGAAGCCGGGCAGCGGGTAATGACATCCCTCCCAGGTTCCTGATTGCCACGGAAGCCGGCTCCATGTTGTTTGGCCTGCTTGATTGTGATTTTTCCGGGAAACCTGCTTCCCGGTCAATCAGGTCATTGCTCGCCACCCGGCTTCCTGATTGACCGGGAAGCCGGTTTCCCGGCCAATTACAATCAAGCAGGCCAAACAACATGGAGCCGGTTTCCGTGGCAATCAAGAACCTGGGTGGGAAACTGGCTCGATGCTGATTGGCCAGGAAGCCGGCTTTCCAGCCAATCAGCAAGGAGCCGGCTTCCCGGCCAATCAGAAAACCAGGAGGTGTGTCATTACTTGCCGCACGGCTTCCTGATTGCACGGGAAGCTGGCTCCATGTTCCCCTACGGCACTGCCAGTCAGAGGAAATTTTCATCTGACCGTAAGTTCCAATAACGGGGAAGGTATCTGAGCATTTGGGTGAGTACAAGTACTCACCCAAATACTCGGTATCGGTGCACCCCTAATCAAAACATATTTGACTGTACTAAATAGCGCTTCTCACTGGTCAGTCACAGTCAATGTGATCATAAACTTGACAGGAAAGTGAAGGTTAGAGAGTTGGAACCAGCTATTTTGAAACATGATGACTGTAAGTTCTTGAGGAACAATGTAAAGTATTACTTTGCTGAGCATTGTGTATTTGTTTGACCTGGATTCCTTATTGAAAAAAAGTTTGAGCGTTTAATACTACTTTAATAAATACCTGTAGAAGGTGGATAAGAAGTTAAACAGGCAATGAGGAAAGTTGGTTATTGCTCTTTTTGAGCCCTTTTATACCTTTTTGGGTTGTAGTAAAACCTATTTATAATGGACACTGTTCAATGTGTTATAGCATGTAAATTTTTATGTACTTAGTGTACCTCCTGACAAAACTTTTTTTTCTTTTGTTTTTATTATGGATAGAAACATTTTTATAGCTGTGTTAGTTCCTTTTTGGGGAGATTTCACCTCCCTTCCTATCCCAGAGATCACTGAGGCCAGGTTCACACTATTTTCCAGACCAGATCTACAACATGGTGCATTGCTTTTTGCCGCAATTTTACCTCGTTCTGGAGCTTTTTTCGTAGCTTAAATGGGCTTTTATGTGCGTTTGTGATGCATTTCCATGCCTTCCAGTGCATTCTAGACCAGTGAAAATGAGACGAGCAGTATTTTGTTTTTGTCTGGACCAGAACGGACTGCGCTGGTGTGAACAGAGCCCAGAAATGCCATACGAATACATTGGTATGCTTTTTTTTTGTCCGGGAACAAACTGTTTTAGTCCAGACATGGTGTGGACAAGCCATGAGACAGGATGTATATGGCCCTGTATGGGTTAAATAGTGCATTGAACACTCAGTGGAAGGTGAAGTTAATGAAGTACTGCATGCTGACTGGTTGGTGTAAGAGAGAGTATCCTTTTGCTGAAGGGAAGGGGACAATGCTTACCAAGTGCAAAGAGCATAGGAAATGTTATTTCACACAAAGGCTCCAGCACAGTTGGAAGGGAATTCGTATTTACATTGAACCGCTTTATACTGTATCTGATTGTCAAAGGTTTGTCCCTAGAAATGGTGTTATTTTGAGGGCTTCTCAGTTCATTATTCCTGTTTCATTTCTCATTGTTAACTTTGGGATTAGCAGCATTGCAAATACAAGTAAAACATTTTTCTAGTTTTTGTATAAAGTAAGAAAGAGAAACTGAAGTTAGAAAAAGAAAGCAGAACTCCAGCTCTATATTTGTGCCTTTCCTCATTGCCCTTCTTGCAATATCTGAACCATGATTTAGCCTTACAGGATTAACTTTTTTCTGATCAATTTTCAGCACAGCAAAAACTGAAGATATAAGAGCTCATGTTTTACAGCTGTTAAATAGACATTGCGTTGTGTTTGGCGATTATTCATGGACAGAGTTTGATGATGTGTTTTTAACGAAGAATGTAAATTCGGTGGCCATTGTAGATACAGCATTAAAAGTTAAAGACAGACAGGTAAGACTTATACATTACATTTTTATTAATGTGTTTTCATATTTATTGAGATTTCTGTAGTTTGAGTTTAAAGTCCAGTTGCAGGTTCTCCTCCCTAGAGTTCCAGTTTTTTTTAGTTTTTTTTTTTTTTACTCTTGCCTTTTCCAGAGTGCTGCGCTGACCTAATGACATCAGCTCTCAGGATGCCATAGTATTGACCCCTCCAGGTATGGGTCTTTGACACCCTGCATCCACAGTATGTCATCCATTGAAGGACAAGGCGATGGTTGGTCATATGCTTAGTTCCTCAGGAAGTGGAGGTGGCCTCAATCAGTAAAGTAGTTTTACACGGTTTGTGCAATTGCAGGGTTATTGGTAAGTATTCTAGTTAGATGCCATTGACTATAGCAAAAGTATTGTGCTGTTAATTTAGGTGTCATTGGCTAGGGTTTGGATAAAGGATTCCCATACACCAAAATAATTTTGTACCAGAGTTACTTTTAGAGATGCCTCCACCTATTCCCTGAGGAACGCATAAGTTAACTTTTATGTACAAAGAAATAGATCAAGGGTCAGAGTAGATCCACTTGTGCAAACTAATCTTTTTGGCTACAAGATAAATAAGTTACAACTCATAAAGATCCTGGAACCAGGGATGTCTAGTATGCCCAATATGCCCATTCTGGCGTTTAAAGGTAAGTACTGTGTTCCAAAATTGTTTGCTCTTGGGGCAGGCCCAGAATGTATGGTATAAGTCTGCATCTAATTGTCTACAATCTATACAGTGCGATGGAAGCGCAATGGAGGTGTTGCGTATATAGTCTACTGGGATTTTTAGGTACGGATACACACAAACGTGGTGTGTGTTTTTGTTTTTTTAGTTTTTTTTAAACATCATATAAAAGGACAGCGTTTACTTCCATGATGGTGAGGTGTGCTTAGCTAGAAAATGTACTTTTGATTTGTTTAGGTTGTTGGAGTAACCAGAGATTTGGCCAAATTTATCAATTATTATAAAATGTGGATAAGAGTGTTCAGGATGTGAGCTACATAAAAGTAGGTCATCTGCAAAGCCCTTTTTTTTCCTGTGCCTAAATATTGATATTTATTAACTAGGTATGCATGCCTAAGCATTGCTTTTTGCAGCTGAAGTTTGGTAAAAGTGTTTTTGAGCTTTCAGCATTATTTATAATAATGTGCCTCTAATGACGTGTGTGCTTTGTTTTCTGTGTTCTTGTTCGTAATAATCCTACCCTCATTGATGCCGAATACTCCATACAGAGCTGATCTTTCGGCACTGCAAGCAGGAGAGGCTACTGCTGCTATTGTGAAGGATTGTGACATTTGCCCTCCCCCTTCTGTCTCCTTGCCATTTTTTTTTTATGTCCTTTGACATAAAAACATATTGACTGAATGCAGTGAATGCAATACAAAAATAAATAGATATTCCATAGTAGGACCAATTGTAGGACACACTGCCTCAAAGCATGCAGAACAAACAAGGAATAGACAAAACCCATTTGACAAATCAGCCTTAATAAACAAAGGAACATTTAGAATCCTAATACATGACAATGAGAGAGTATAATAACCGAACAACACTTTGCATGCGGATCTATCAGGAACCCTGAGAAAATATATATAGCGCACTATAAGACATCCACCATGAACCGCAGCCTGTTGGGTATCTGAGAAACTGGGCCATCGCGCGTGTGTGCTCATGGACAGAAGTCAGGTAATAAGCAGAGTAGCAATTGTGTGTAAAATCTGCCCTTTTGGTGTTTCCTTTCAATATAATGTGTCAGCAGCAGTGAAACCAACATGGTATGTGACCTCCCCTATAGTTAGATACAATACAATCTCAAAACTGCATGTGCAATGTGTTGTGATCCAGATCATATGGGCAACTCCACAAATTCATCTCTATGAAAAAGAGAGAGAAAAAAAAAAGTCTCTTTTAACCTCCTGCCGTCCGCCCGTTAAGAAAAAACGGACGGACGGCGGACTCGCATCAGCGGGTTGCTGTCCCAAGACGGCATTTTTTTCCTGCTCGCGCGCGCCCACTAGCACGCGCCTCACGGGCAGGAAAGACCCGCTCGTTTTTACGGCTGTTTCACATACAACCGATCAGCGGCTCTATAGCCGGCGATCGGTTGTATGGCGCAATTTTGTAGCCCCCACCTGACCCCTCACCTTCAATCCCGGGATCCGCTACCCCATCTGCGGCCTGGGACCGGCTTGGGAGGGCGTCAGGAGGAGAAGGGATGGAGATCAGCTCCTTGCTGACCTCCCTCCGTGCTGTGAATGCAGAAGTGATGTGTATTACATCACTTCCGCATTCACCTGTCAGTCATCTGGCTGCTATAGCCAGAGAGAAGAAGCTGATGAAGCAGATTTTTGCTTCATCAGCTTCTTTTGGGGTCCCCAGGTGACATTAGGGGTCCTAGAGACCCCTAATGTCTCCATAAAGAGATATAGGGGATAGTATCCCCCCTATGTAATAGCAATAACAATAAGTGTAAAATATACCGTATTTTTCGCTCCATAAGACGCACTTTTTTACCCCCAAAAGGAGGGGGAAAATGTGCCTGCGTCTTATGGAGCGAATCCCGACGCCCGAGACATGCGGTTTCGGGCACCGGGCGAGTAGTAGGAGCCGCTGCTCGTTTAATACGAGTGATCTAATGAGATCACTCGTATTAAAGCCGTGCAGCGGCGACGATGGAGATAAGGTACATATAAACGTAAATGTGCATCAGATGTGTCAGCACGCAAAAACGACAATTGCGCTACACATGTTGCATATCGCTGTGAACGTCGGAGTGAGAGCAATCATTTTAGGGCCATCAATCACTGATAACACTAAACTGATGTGCGGTAAAAGCTTTCAAAGCGTTGACTATGGCCAATTTTGGGTAATGTAATTTTTTGAGGTTTCGCGCGCGTGCACAATTTTAAGGCTTGACATGTTTGGTGTCTTTTTACACGACGTGACCCCGTCTTTTATATTTTACCAAAAAATTGGGTAATAATAAATGTTTTAGTATTTAATATAAGGGAAAGTTTTCCTTTTAATATAGTAAAAATACAATTTTAGTGTGATATCCGTAGTGTTTCTGTGCAATAAATACACTCACCAGACTCCTTTGACCACTATAAATTGGTCAAACTGCACTCAGATTACAATCCTTAGCGAGCCATTCTCCCAAGACAGCAGATGGCAACCTCTTTTGTAGTCAACATCTCCTTTCAGTTGGTCGGCTCAAGTTGTACTAATTCCTGTCAATCCACCTTTCTCCTTGTAATTCATTCTGTGCCCCATGGAAAAAAATGTAGACGCCACATAGTGTGAAATCCTTGGAGGTTAATATTGGCCATTTTAACCTGGCCAATACAACGGGGAGGAAATTGGTGAATGGACGTTCACTGGTCCGGTCTGGTTACCGGATCGTAGAAATGATCTGTCAGCAGGCTCCCGGTGGCTAAAAGCTAGCAAGCAGTAGATATATGTAAAACCATTTTAAAGAATAAAATGGTTACCAAATAGGTTAAAACCTACCTCTGTCTACGCCACTCGCTCCCGGCTGTAAAATCCAGCTTCTCGAGCAGCCGTGCAGGAGGATGAGTGCGGGTGCATGCACAGTGGAGAACATCGGCAGGTTTAAGAGGGGGGATACAGTGGAAGTAGAATGCATATAGCTGATGGGCACCGTAGGACACAAGGAGTCAGTGTTGGATCATAGACCAGCACCAGCGCTGGAGGGACTCCTGAAAACTACTGGAAAGAAGATGATTGGATCAAGAGGCATCACTTAACCACTTGCTGACTCGGGTGTTCCTGTCCAGGCCAATTTTCAGTGTTCAGCGCTGCAGTACTTTGACATTTATTCCGTCAAGCAACGCTGTACTGAAATGAATGTTATACTATTTTTTTGGGGACACATAGAGCTTTCACCTCCTGGATTTTTCGTTTTTTACTATATAATGAAAAAAGTAGGGCTGTTACTGATTTAAAATTTTCGTGTTCGATTAATCGAAATTTTTTTTAATCGATTACGCACATACAGATCCAAATACATTGGCCTATACACATACAGCACATCAATGAAGTAATAAAATGAACTAGGATCACACTAATCCAGCACGTTATTAATCTCACGTGCCCCACTCAATATGGCCGCCGCTTGAGTGGGGCAACTCTGAAAAATAACGTGCTGGATTAGTGTGATCCTAGTTAATTTTATTACTTATTTGGTGTGCTGTATGTGTATAGGCCAATGCCTTGGCTGGCGCTCGTGCAGAACAAGTTTCTTGGGCAAACTCACCGGCCCAAGTGGCTCTGTCGGCTAACGAAGGGAAGGGGGGAGGAGTCAGTTGATGTCACGGACATCGACGTCACCGGACTCCTTCCCCCTTCCCTTCGTTAGCCGACTGAGCCACTTTGGGAAAGGGGGAGGAGTCCGGTGACATTGATGTCCATGACGTCACCGGAAGACCCGGAAGTTCAGCTTTAATGATTCGGTATATGTGGAAGAATATAATAAAGGACTTCTCTGTCACTCTTCCCCCTCACCATGTTATAGCTGGCAGGTCACACCAGTAAAAACATGATGTGAAGAAAGTTTTTGCTGTTTGGCTCATTGCTTCCTTCACTGTCAATCTGTCAAACTGAAAATTTTGAAAAAAAACCCTGTTCTCCCTACGTTATATTATAAAACATTAATTACACATTTTTGGTAAAATATAAAAGACGGGGTCACGTTGGGTAAATGGATGCCAAACATGTCAAGCTTTAAAATTGCGTGTGCCTGCGAAATCGCAAAAAAACTACCATACCCAAAATTGGCCATAGGCTTTAAACTCATCAGTTTAGTGTTATCAGTGATTGAAGGCCCTGGACTTATTGCTCCGGCGTTCACAGCAATATCTAACGTGTGGCGCAATGGGTACAATAGTCTTCGCACGTAGGCGCACTCAACGCATGTTTGCATGTGTATGTGGGGCGGGGGGCTTTAAAAAATGTGGGGGGACCCAATTTGCAGTGACAGGTCCTCTTTACGGAGACATCAGGGGTCTTTAAGACCCCTAATGTCACCTAGGGACCCCCAGAGAAGCTGATGAAGCAGAGACCTGCTTCACCAGCTTCTCTCCGGCTTCTGTACCGGAGAGTGACAGAGGAATGCGGAAGTGATGTAATATACATCACTTTCTGCATACCGACAGGAGGAGATCAAACGAAGATCGTGTACTGACCTCCGTTTGATCTCTGGTCACAGAGCTGCTGTGCTGGTCCTGGGAGCTGTCCCTTACACATAACACTCAGCTTCTGGGGTGCTCTGAGGAATGAGGGATATGACTCACCCCCACCCCTACTCTCTACTTGCCCAATCACAAAATGCCTTGCGGTTTACTGAAAGAATACAAGGCATTCTATGATTGGAGAAAGAGAAATCAGGGGTGTGGAAATTTAAAAAAAAAACGACTTGTCCAAGGACTAAAGCTGGGGCCTGATCTACTTGTCCCTCATGAAAATCTACTTGTCCTGATCGGTGGTGTGAGAATCTGTGTCTGCCCGGCCATCCACACGGTTTTGTGCGCGATTGCCGTGTGGTAACGGATCGCCCACTCCACTCACACAATGCCCCATGCATGCGTTTATTCGCATGCAGATGATAGGGATTGGTTTGAATTTTTTAGATTTTATTTAACTTTTTTTTTTTTGCTTTTGTAATATTTTTTTTTCATTTTATTTTTTTACTTTATCGCCTTTTTTTTCTATTTTTATGTATTTAAATTTTTTATTTTTTCCAATTTTATGTTTACATTTTTAAGTGTTATATATTTTATTTTTCACTTGACTTTATTGCTATCACACAAGGGTAACAAGCCCTTGTGTGATAGCTTTTGGAGGTGACAGGTTCTCTTTATTGACCCTGTCACCTCCAACACAGGAGTTCTAGCACAGCACTGTGCTATTTCTCCTGTGACAGGAAGGCTGCATTCCTGTGTCACTGCACACATGGAGCAGAGTAGAGAACCGTTCTTTGCCTTACTCCATGCTCTGGAAGACTACGGCAAAAAGGAAGCCCAGGTGCAGAGAGACAGGCAGCCGGGAGCAGTACACGGCCGGCCGCTGGAGATGGGGAGGGGGGGAGGGGAGGAGAAGAGAAGCGTGATTCAGGCAGGTTACAAGTGATTTTTGGACGGCTGCACAGCCGTTTAAAATCACTCGTACAAAACGGCTCCCACACTACATTTAGCAGTGCTGCTTGCCTGCAGCCGGGCTAAATGTAGAAAAAAACTACTCGCCCGAAACTGCCTGTCCCGGGCGTCGGGCGATAGGAATTCCACACCCCTGGAGATGTCACATTCCCACCCCCTCCTTCTTATCCAATAACAGAATGGCTTGTATTCTTTAAGAAAAATACAAGGCTTTTTGTGAATGGGCAAGTAGCGAGTAGATGTGGGGATGTGACGAACACTTTACTACTCGAGCTGCATCCCTCACTCCCCACAGCGCCCAGAAGCCGAGAGTTGTGCAGGATCCAGCACACTGCAAGGTAACATTTTTCCTTTTGTTCCATTAATTTGCCTCTTAGGTGCCAATGAATGGCTATGAGCTGCTTCAAGTTGCTTTTGCATTCACGCTGGCTGAAAATGGACTGCTTTCACAATGTGTTATAAGTCCAGCGTTGTGTTACTGTTTTATAGTGTTTTATTGAAGGATAATACATAGTAGTAGTTGGGGTGTATTTAAACAGATATGCCACAATGCCAGTTTTAAGTGAAGAGGAATATCTGCAACTTTTATGAAAAGGATACCTGGTGGTCATGCCACAAAGTCCCTTGTTCAGGCACATCTTAACAACAAAGGCACGGTCATAACAATAAACATTGTGCAGTCATGGCTGACCATCGTTACTATCAGTTAACCAGGTCAGAGAAAAGGGGTGGAGCTGAGGCTGGAGGAAGTGCCTGGTTCACACCTGGGCGTTTTACAGCGCATAGAGACGCGCTGTAAAACGCTCGGCATGTGAAAACCAATAATTGCCTATGGGCATGGTTCCCACCTGGGCGTAGTTCAGCGCGTAGGAACGCGCTGAAAAACGCCCTACGCCCAAAGAAGTACAGGAGCTTCTTTGGGGCGGTTTTTCCGCACGTATCCATTAGGATACAGCCGCATTGCCCCCGTAAACGCGCTTTTGTCGTGCGTTACTTTTACCGCAAACGCGCAAATTCCGTACGCCCAGGTGTGAACCCAGCGTTAGTAGATGCAAGGCTAGAGGAGATCACCAGCACTGAAATGCAAAAAGGGTGTATTTTATTCATTTTGATTAACCTTCTCTATTCATTTTTTGCAGCCTATTGATCTTAGCAAATGCCATCTATTTGTCAATGTTTTTCATTTAAATGAAGAAGGTCCCAGTTCAGAAAATCTGGAAGAAGAAAATGAGGACCTTGTGGCAGCAAACCACTGGATTTTGCCTTCTGGTGAGAGATCTGTATTAAAAATGCATTTTTATCAGATGTAGTTTCTGAGGTCCTGGTGCAGGAAAGATTAGTGGCCCCAGTATTTATCACAGCTGCTGGAAGCATCATGAGAACAAGCTTCAAAAGCAGTCCACTCCCAAATCCCTGTTTCAGGGCTGTTTTTATTAAAATCAATTCAGGTCAAACGCAGAAGATAATCCTTGCAGGGGTTTTCTGCATTCTTTTCCCAGTGCCAGAAAACACAAATACTTCACAAATACTTCACCAGACTCCTGTTTTGCACTTGCAGATCTGTTGTTCTGGCCTCTATCCTCAGGCTTTGGGTGGTATCCTGCACATAGTCTCACAAACACTATGCACATCTGGCAGCTCCTTATTCACTGGCTTCCACCTGTCTTCTATGTGTAGCCCTTCTGACTCCTGGGTGGAGACCCCCTCTGTTTCCCCTGGTTAGGACCGTCAACTCTAGTCTGCCTCCTAACCATAAGGGTTGTGCACAGCTTTACCATCAAGATGCTGGTTGGCAGCAAAACATGGCCCTGTGGTTGGAGGCTTCATCCCACCCAAGGCTCTACAAAGCCTCCACGGTCCACACCAAGATTTAACTGATCCTAGCAAAAACTGAAAAGCTTGTTTTCTCCCTATTAAACAAACATCCTGGAGCCTCTCACACTTTAGGGTGAGAACCTTAGGTGACACCAATGCCTCTCTACACTGCGCTATTCAGTCTCACACTAATGTGCACTCCAATAGCATATTTACGGTGTCACATGACACTGTCCTGTCACAGTAGTTATGAGGTTGCTCTCTGAGAATTAACACAAAGCTC